CCCCCCACAAACTTGGCCTCTGTAGATTTCTCTTCAAAGGCTCCCGACATGCGGCTGCCTGCTGTGCTGCAAGATTATGCACAATAGGGTCCGCTGGTGCCCGCTGCGTTAAACCAGGCAAGCTCCATCGCACTCGGCTGAGTCACATCTGATGAGGGGCGGGGGAGGAGGGGGTGGCCCAGGCGGACCCTGCAGGATCAGCAAAACGAGTGGGACAGGGGTTTGGCATAGAGATAGGGAGATGGGGGGCTTCACATGCCAGCTGTGTCATGGTTTAGTGACTGGGATCAAAAGGCGTTCAGCAAACCAACACGCATCTTTAGAGGGTTTAACTCGGCTGCATGAGGAAGGCGCCTCCGATTCTAGCAGAACACAGCTTTTGGGACGAGAGTTACAGATATTATAAATTAAGCTTAGATGAAAGTAGTGGTTATGAATGCGCTGGTTAGGGTGGAGATAGTGTTAGACACAATACAGTTATTAGAATAAATAAATATCAATACAACGAAGACAGTTAAAATGCAAAGTTAAAGATGAGTGATCTTGCTTTAGTCAGTGCGCTTCTGCACCATGTTTATATTGATCACTGCTGCACTTTAAAGGAATAGTACACCCAAAACATGATCAGCCTTCATTTTCTACTCACCCCCATGCTGAACAACACTCTGGAGTACTTTTTTGATATCTCAAATGCATCTGGAGATCTGGGAGGCTTCTTGCTGTCTGCTGACATTCAAATAATGGAGGTCTATGGCGCCCGAGGCAGAAAGGTCCATAAAAGTCCACAAAAAACGTGTCAATATTCCTCCATACTGCTCGTCCAATGTATTCCAAGTGTCCTGAGTGGGTAGCGTCCAGAATTTACTGGAAACGAAGTCATTTAGAATGTTTTTAGAGCATAAACAGTAGTGTATAGGATTTCCTGAAAGCGCGTTCACGACGCTACGGAAACCGCGGCAGACCAAACCAGATGAAAGTGCGCATTCAGCTCAGCAAAGAACTCATGCTCTTCCTCAACACTGAAGTCCTCAGACATTTTTCTTTCGTTGTTTCTTTCTTTGCACAGGTAAACAGCACATTTCTTCTTCTACGCTTGCATTATCGGCAGAGCAGACGCTGAATGCGCACTTTCATCTGGTTTGGTCTGCCGCGGTTTCCGTAGCCTCGTGAGCGCGCATGTGCGCGCTTTCAGGAAATCCTATACACTACTGTTTATGCTCTAAAAACATTCTAAATGACTTCGTTTCGAGTAAATTCTGGACGCTACCCACTCAGGACACTTGGAATACATTGGACGAGCAGTATGGAGGAATATTGACACGTTTTTTGTGGACTTTTATGGACCTTTCTGCCTCGGGCGCCATAGACCTCCATTATTTGAATGTCAGCAGACAGCAAGAAGCCTCCCAGATCTCCAGATGCATTTGAGATATCAAAAAAGTACTCCAGAGTGTTGTTCAGCATGGGGGTGAGTAGAAAATGAAGGCTAATCATGTTTTGGGTGTACTATTCCTTTAAGGAATGGAAATGTTCATTTCCTGTCTGAAAAGCTGAACTAAACGTGATTTGGTTTTTTATACACCCTGTGTATAGAAAATGATAATAGAAGTTATCTAGATCTAGTCTGATAGAATTGTTACATTTTTTTTAATCAACACAATGACCTTAAACCTGCTGAAGTCTAACTCTTCCAAACATAGACTTTTGTATTTAGATCTAAATAGCAGCAAAAATCTCATCGCTTTGTAAAGTTAAATGAAACAGAAAATAAGCAGAAACTTCAATTCAATAAGTATTTTATTTAACATCTAATGAGGTATTTATTTAAAGGTCAATAAAGTTCTATTCTATTCTATTATTCAGTTCAGAGTCTATATTTTTATCTGACACTGCTAAAGGGATTTACCCAGTTTAAATACTGTACTATTTTATTCATATAGAACAAACATGATCTTAAGACACTTTACAGAAACAACTCAATCAGATCAAACAGGCAGATCAGATTTTCTATCTAAAAATATCCAACTGTTTAAAATTAACTTATTGACTTTTCAGAATTCAATCCCCCTAGATAAGCAGCAGCAGTAGATATTTGCCTACATTGAGTCATTGACTCTGCAACAATCGTTCACAGCGAGCGTAGATGAGCAATTCCCTTTGAACAGGAAGAAACCTCCAGCAGAACCAGTGTTTGCAGCTTTGAAAGAGAATAAAGAGATTAAAAGGCAAGTTTTAGTCAGCATGGAGAAAAAAGCAGAGAACATGAAGTTAAAAATCCAACAAACAAATAAAGCCAAAGAAAAACTAGAGTAGAGAGAAACAGAGTGAGGAAAAGTGATCTTTATGTCCTCCAGCAGCCTAAGCCTATAGCAGCATAACTACACAGGCAGTTCACAACAATCTAAAACAACTATAGATTTATTTCAAACTGAAAAATTCACACGCAGAGAAAAGAAGATTAGAAGAAATTTATTGATAAAATGACTTCAGTCTTTGGCGCTCAGACCTCGGCAGGAAACATTAGCGCTGAATTTTGATAGATATACATGAACAGGAGTAAAGAACAGGCCTGAAACTGGTGGTGGACTGGAGATAGATGGAGTCGGTCAGTCTGTAGACTGCTGGTTGGAGAGACGGTCTGCTGAGCTTTACGGGGAGATCCAGTGGACACTCAGGGACCTGGAAGATGGAAGTCCAGCTGGATAACACAGGTTGAGAGAACCTGTCCATGATGAGCAAGCATGAAGCGACAGTGGAGAGGAAAATCTCCCCATTGGGAAGAAACCTCTGGCAGAACCAGGCTCAACATGGCAGTCTGCTGCCGGACCGGTTAGGATGAGACAGGGACGCAGTGAGAGTCCAGGAGGAATGACGCTCTGATGAAGCTTTAGCTACGATGGTGGAGGAGGGGCTGGAGGGGGGAGGAAACGGTGGCGTCTGAATGATGTCACATCCGCCGCCTGCGCACAGGAGCAGACAGGTGCGTATCGGAGGCATTTTAAGATGAGCTTTGGATGCCGAATGGTTTTTATGGAGGCGGGGTTCAGAGGCGGGGTTCAGAGCTCCATGAGCCATCCTCAAGTCACCTGCTACAACGACTACCGGCCCGTCGCACTGACTCCCAT